CACCCAGCACACAGAGGTGGGTGCATCTCTGTGATGCTGGGGGCACTGTCTATCAATGAACCGTCTTCAGTCCTCACATCCTGGAGCCGGCATGAGGATGAGATGACATGCACCTGTGCTCCAGGAACCGGTGGCTCTTCCTGAGTTAAACATCTGTGCCCCCCTGTTTAGTTAATAAAGACTCAATTCCCTGAGTAGTTCTCTACATTAGAATTTGCCCTCTTTCCTAGTTCAGCACAGGTCGGTGTCAATTCCACTGTGGTGTCAAGTTCAAAGTCCCTCTGCTTGGCCAGCGGTATTTCTTTCTGTCATAGGGTATGGGTGGGATTAGCCAAGGAATGGACTTCAGGGTTATAGGAGTATAATGACTTTGGAAGTCTGTTCCCACACATGGGGATTTTGGTGCCATTCTGTCTGTATGCCTGTTTGTTTGTTTTTTAAGGCAATTGACTTTATAAATTGGGGGTAGAGGCAGCTAATTTATAAACAATGAAATATAGTTAGGCAATTAAGAATGCATCTCAGAGTTTTTGTTTTGTGAACTTCGTGCTAGACTGACTTTTGAAGCTTGAGGGAGTGGATAGGTGAGCAGGAGTCGGTATCCACCAGATTCAGGTCAGAACAAACCAGCCGACCAGCTGCCTCGGAATTTCCCCCTTACCCGGTTTCCTTTAAAACAGAGTTCCTAACAGGCTCTTATTATTATAGGGTCCTTGTAATGTTACTCCAACTAGACAATAGTGTTTTAAGTAGGCAAGAACTGGCTTGCCTTAACTCTCTTCCTTCCCTTTACCCCCATCAAAATAAACAGAAAGTGGTGCTAACCGGTAAGTTACACCACTTTCTGTTTATTTTGATAAACAGAAAGGTTGTAGGTTGCCCTTCCTACGACCCCAGTAAACATGGGCAATGTCAAGCAGCCAGAGTGAACCCACCAGGCAAGGCAAAGCCCCCGGCCTCCAGCAGACATGAAGCTGTACCCTCCTTCCACCCTCTCAGGTGTGATTGGCTAAGTGGGGGCAGAAGTGCTGAATGAATGAGTTTATTGTACTGGACTCTGGAAAAAGAGGAAAAGATGGAGTCCTACTGGTTCCCAAAGTGAGGTGTCCAGATGAACAAATTGTTACAAATGCAGATTAGTGGCTCCTACCTCAGATCTGAATGGGAAACTCTGGGGTTGGGGTTTAGTAATATGTGTTTTACCTTGCTTAATAGTAGAAAATTTAGAGGAAGAAAATAAACATAATTCATAAAGTTATCTAGAAAGAACAGCTATTAACTTTAGCTCTGTTTTTCTCAATTACTTTCATATATTATAGAGTTAGTCACATTTTTTATATCTTGCTTATTCCTGAATGTTATACCATGACTAGAGGACCGGTGCATGAAAATTCATGCACTTGAGGAGCAGGTATTCCTCAGCCCAGCCTGTTCCCTTTCACACTCTGGGAGCCCTCAAGGGCAGGAGGTGACCTGGCGATCAGGGAAAGGTGACGCCCCCATCATACCTCTGCTGCTGCCACTGCCAGCAGTGCAAGCCTCAGCTAGCCCTGGTTACCTGAGCCTCAGGCAGCCGTGATCCGAGGCTTGCCTGCATCTCAGGCGTCAGCTGGGCAGCCATCATCTGAAGCTTGTCTGTGCTTCGGTGCCAGCCTTGAGTAGCTGGGCAGTGGACATCTGAGGCTTTCCTGTGCCTCGGGCCAGCCCTGGGTGGCTGGGGTCTGAGGGGACTGGGAGACTTTGGAGGCAAGCTCTTATGAGTGGCTGGATTACATGGAGATAGGGCTGATAGGACTGGGCACTGCCATCTTGTGGCTGTAGGCACCACCATCTTTGAGGGTGTGGGGTCAATAGCATATTCTCTCCTTATTTGCTGTGGGCACTGCCATCTTTGTGGTGGTGTGATGGTCAATTTGCATATTCCTTCTTTATTGGGTAGGATTATTTTTCCCATTTAAAAATATTCTTTGAAAACATGATTTTAATGTTTTATGATATTCTAGCCCATAATTATACTGTGATTTATTTAACCACTCTCTATTGGTCTAGAGCAGGGGTGGGGAATGTCTGGCCAGCAAGCCATATCATTTGGTCTGGCCCTGCCATGACAATCACAGATAGGACTCAAAATTAATAAATCTAGGAACTTTTTTCATAGCACCATAATTTTAAGTTGATAATTTTGTATGGCCCATAAATGATTTTATAAATATCCAAATGGCCCTTGGCAGAAAAAAAGTTACTCACCCCTGGCCTAAATTTGTTGATCAAAGGCAACAACACTATGAATGTTTTTTATACATCCTGCCATCTGACTTTCCAGAAAACATATAATTTATTTCAAGTAGTAGAGTATTAAACTGTCTGCCTCTCTTTAGAAAGTAATAACTTTTTGGGGTCTTTGATAATGTTAGATGAAAACTTCAGTTTCAATATGATTGCATATATACATGTGTTTTATTTCTTCTCTCATACTATCTAGGTAGTTTTTCCCCCCCTTAGTTTGTGTTATTTCTTTATCAGTAATTTGTGTAACACTGGCTATCATAGTAAAAGTGGAAAAGAATGAGGAAATCTACAAAGCAGGTTTTTCAATAAAATTTTCTGGGTTAGCAAAGTTTCAGTGTGTCAAATACATCAAGTAGTCTAAATAAATTCTATTTCTGGTGTTATGTAACATTTTACATTACCAATGAGGTAATGAGTAAAGACCTAGTTCTTGTACAGGCTGTCCCTATTGAGCAAATGCATTTACAGAAAGGAATTATTGTTTCTTTCAGATTATGGTTGTTTCTTAAAAGGAAAAAAAAAAAAAGGTTGAAAATGAAGCCCTATATTGTTGTTCTTGTGATATCCAAGTATCTTGGAAGGACACCTTTAGAGCTTATAGTCATGGCAGTGTCCTTCCAATTTGGCTGCATTCTGAACTTAATCCACTTTGAATGCTTTGCCCAATGGAGGCAACTCTACCTTTCTTCCCCTTCTCTCCTCCTCACTGTCCTGCCTTCTTCAAAACATGAGGATCTCAGCAAAAACTATTTAGTCTGATAACAATGAGTGGATAATCTTTGCAAAAGGATTAGCCTTGACACATTCTGGTTTGCCATGGAACACTTCAGTGAGTCAGATGGAGAGGGTCAAGTATCACCCCCTTAACAATGCATCAAGACCGACTGTCTTTGTTCAATGTGTCCCAGGAGAGTGAGCAGTGGGCAGATCCAGAAAATGTTACTTCATGGTGATGTTGGAGGTGGAGTGAGATCCCTCTCTGAATTCTTTAAACCTAGTTGAACATGGTGACAGGAGAAGATCTGATGTTGGGTGGTGGGCACACAGTGTAATATATAGATCTTGTAACATAGAAACTGACTCTTGAAATATGTATGTTCATGTTGACCAATGTCATCCCAATAAATGTAATAAAAAATAAAACAAACTTATTTGGGAATGAATCAGTGCAAGCCTATAGTCCTTCAGTCTCTATTAGAGATAACCAGAGTGTCAGAGAGGGGAAGCAGAATTCTCAGCTCTGGGCTCTGAGTTGAGAATAATTACAATTCTCTTTTTACAAAATCAGAATGGACTCTTGACCAAGGTCTTTTGGTGACCTCATAAGAAAGCAGGTACTTGTGGCATTTTTGTTGAGCATCTTGGCAATTGTTAAACTTTTTTTTAATATTTATTTATTTATTTATTTATTAAATATATTTTATTGATTTTACACAGAGAGGAATTAAGAGAGATAGAGAGTTAGAAACGTCAATGAGAGAGAGTCATCGACCAGCTGCCTCTTGCACACACCCCCACTGGGGATGTGCCCCCAACCAAGGTACATGCCCTTGACCAGAATCGAACCCAGGACCTTTCAGTCCGCAGGCCAACGCTCTATCCATTGAGCCAAACCGGTTTCGGCTACTGTTAAACTTTTCAAGATTTCATTCCAGGTAACAGGACTTGTCTTCTAGCCATTGAGTTCACACAGGTTCTAGAGTGGCTCATGTGTCCAAGATAAGGTGATGTCACCATTCTATTTTTTCCCCTCTCAGAAGTAATCTTTTGTGTACAAATGAGGTTTCTTGTTTGTGAGTGGGCAGCTTGAATCTCCCAGGTGTTTTTTCCTCTGGACTTTATATATTTAGTGAAAACGACACAGGAACCTAAGATGCTTCAGGACTTGGTTTGTGGTGTTTCATTAGGTTGGGAATTGAGATTTGGAGGCCAATTCTAACTTTGAGACATAGGGTTTAAATAACACTAAATCATTAAGATTTTCTGATTCCAGAACATTGGTGTTAGGCCCCTGAAGACTTACATAAAACACATCACCATAGACATGGAACAAGAGATCCCAGAGCCCATATGTGAAGGCCTAATTGATCTAGAGAGCTCTGTAAAAGGACTTTAGTTATAAAGTGAGGCTGTAAGCAATGCCTTGGAATTCACAGTGTGCCAGAATGATAAGGGCTGCTTTGTCAGTGGTGCACCCTGCTCTTCTATGGCTGATGTTGCCTGTGTAGTAAGAGATCGAAGCACCAGTACCATTTCATAGCTTGAGACTGTACATAGTTATCTAGACCCAAGAGCTGGAGGTTGGTGTGGGCTCCAACCTCTCCTCCTAACCTACTCACTATGCTTATTTGCCTACCTACTTCTTTTGAGTACACCTTTGGGTGTCCTCCCACTTTTTTCTTGATCCTCACTGCCTTTCTCGAAATCTTTCTCACTGTTTGGTGCAAAAGTCTTCCACTGGTCTCCCTGCCCACTCCTTCATCTCTCAGTAACCAGGCTGATTATGAATTTTCCTATGTCAACAACCGCGTTACGGTGATGATGGTAGTAGCAACTGTGGCTAACATTTATTGAGTGCTCACTACATGTCAGACAGTATTATAATTTTAATCTTCCTTTTAGCCTCCTTGTACAAGATGTACTGCTAATGTTCCCATTATGTAGATGGTTAGGCCCATGGGAACTTTAATAAGTTTTCCAGAGGCATTCAGCCATACGTGGGGGAGCCAGATTGAGCCCAGGGACGATGGCCAGCTCTTTAATTGCATACAAGCTCCTTGTGGTTTGAGCTGAGACTCTCTCTCCAGCTACCTTTTCTCCCCAAGTTCTGCAGCCTGCTACTGGGCCTTTGCCTATGCTCTTTGCTCTGGAAAACTCTCACCATGCTCTTGGCCCTCCCATCTTGGCTTCAGAAACTCCTCTGGTGGGGGTAAGGGGGCAGGGGGCAGATGGCCCTGTGCATATGAATCACCTAGAACTCCTAGTAAATTAAGATTTTCAAGTCTCAACCCAGAGATTGTGATCTAGCAGGCCTGGGATGGAATCAGGTACCCGATGACAGGTGACTCAGGCATGCACAAGGTCAGGAGCCACAGCAGTGTTGTGTTCCAGGGTACATTCTTGGCTCACTGTCACAATCATTGCTATACTTCTGTGTACCTGATTCACATGGTGGCAGGGACTGTCTTTTATTTTCCACGCTTGTCCCCTTGTCTAGAACATGGCAGGCATTCAGTAAATTGGCTATTGTTTGAATCCAACATCAGTTTGTTGTTTTCTTTTAAAGGCTGAAAAGAAAGAATGAGATTTCTAAATAGGTTATTATGCAGAGAAAAACAAAAGGTTTACAAAATAGGATTTCTCTTCTAATCCACAAAGCATTGAGCTTGCTCCTATATCTCTAGGCAGTTTCTTATTTACCCAGGATGGAGTGGGCTCTAGTTCTTATGAATGTTGAGAAACAAGTTTGAATTGTTTTGAGATTCAGTACATTCTTTATTTTTATTTTTATTGATTTCAGAGAGGAAGGGAAAGGGAGAGAAACATCAATAATGAGAGAAAATCATTAACTGCCTGCCTCCTGCACGCCCCCTATTGGGGATTGAGCTAGCAACCTTGGCATGTTCCCTTGACCGGAATCAAACCTGGACTCTTCAGTCTGCAGGCCGACACTCTATCTATCCACTGAGCCAAACCAGTGAAGGCAAGATTCAGTATATTCTAACTAAAAGGGACCATCCAGTTCTATTTGTTTAAAAAAATTTATTTTTTTTATTAAGTTCTAAAACTTTGTACAAAAAAAAAAAATTCTAAAATGGAAGCCAAAAATATGAAACAGATTATGGTCACCCATAGTTATTCTGAGATACTTATGTAGAACTGAGGCTTTGTATTTTGAAAACTATGATTTATTCCAACCCCCTTATTTGGAGATATGGAAATGAAGGTTCTCTGCGTTAAAGTGACAAGTCTAAGGTTACAAAGCTAGTTATTTGGAGTGTTGACAAGATGGTAAGATTTCAAGGTGTGGCCTTCCCCAAAGGTAGACACTTAACTCAGGCGTCTGGTTCCTCCTACCACAGATAAGATAAAAAATATAATAGCAGTCTCATCCAAAATGTCTTCCAACATAGCAGAATTCTAGAAGTCCCTGCCTCTAGATATTCCTTCTAGTCAGCCAGCCCTCTCGGTAGTCAGAGGGTAGTGTGTGAGTTAGGCAAGCCTGTGTACCTGCACTAGGGAAGCCAGATTCTGAGGCAAGCATGCTGTAACCCTCCCTTCCCATCTCCCCTACTTACTGATTAACCTGCTTGATGTTTGTCTCATTTTCTCATCCAAAAATTATGCCAACTTCATAATCTTTCAGTGAGGATCAAATAAGATAAGCAGATAGTACCTCACCTATGCCAGGTGAGGACTGGGTCCTTCACGGTGACTGGGTGCTGGGTTTGTGGTCATGGTGGTGCCGGTGGCAGTTGTGCTAAAGGTTGCGGTAGAACTGATTCCTGTTCAGGCTACTCTGACATGTTCCTGCTCATGTTCTAATTCCTGCTGTCCTGACCACATCTCAGTTTTGTGCTCCAGCTTTCACTTTGCTGAAATGGGAAAGTGCAGTCATTTTCACTCAACTGGGCTAAGTAGGGCTATTCATTGATGTCCATTTATGACCTTTGTTGATTTCACCCTTTTTACCCCCCACCCCACTTTCTTTTTCCCAGCTCCCTAAGCACTTGTGTGTACTAGCAAAGTCAATACTCGGTAAATATTTGTCCATGTGAATGGTACTGTTGTACCATCACCTGAGACCAGTCTGGGCAGTTCTCACCAGCACCACCCTTGAACTTTTGTCTTCCTGCCCTTTAACCAGCTCATCCTATGCCCTGTGTTCCCATCCCTTGAACTTGTATCCCTCTCCCACACCTTGGTCTTTGGTTCTCTCTTCCAAGAATTTCTTGGTTGATCTTCCATGTAGATACTCCAGTCCATACTTGTACCTAGAAGAACACATCAGAACATGCCCAGGCATGCCGTCCTTGTTACCGCTGAGGCCCACTGTCCTAGACTCGGAGAGCACTCTCAACCCCCAACTGCATGTGGCACTTGCTGTAAATTGTTCAGGGGACACAAAATGAGGTCAATAAATGATTAGTAGAAGAATGTGGATGTTCTATTAAAAGGAATGCTTAGCTCTTATTGCAGTCATATAATAGGCAGTAATCATGATAGCCGAGGGACATGAAAACAGTCAGCAGAGTTTATAGAGTTCTCTGTCATGTCGGCTTGTGTGTGCGCGCGCATGTGCACTTGCCTGTGAATTTATCTCCAAGGCATTCTGGGAACTTGTTCTTGAGAAAGAGATATCAGGCCTGGTTTGCCCCCCCCCCCCTTCTTTTTATAGCAATAACTTGGTGGCTGGAAATAGAGTATTACAATAGTTTCTATAGCTTAAAAAAACCTTCTAGAACACTGGTTCTCAGTGTGGTTCCTTGATCCAAGAGCATTGCAATTACTGGGAATTTGTCAGAAGTACAAATTCTAGGGTCCCACCCCAAATGTACTAGATCTTTAGGGGTCTTTGGGATTGAGGCCCAGCAAGCTATATTTTAAGAACCCCCTCTCCCAGGCAATTCTGATATGCCCAAGTCTAAGAAGCACATAGCCACTAACTCCTAAATCATCACCCTCAACAAGACTGACTAGGAAAGTGCACTTGGGGTCTTTAAACCTCGATTAGATCTATCTCCCGATTCATCTTTATTCTAAGGCTGAAGGTGTTCACAAAAGAAAAAGTAAGATGCCTCTATTAAAGAAGTGACGTTCTTGAATCAAGCTTTCCTCTAAACCAGAACCTTTAGAATATAACTGAACAAATATGTTGCTGATTTTTTTTAAAAGGAGATGTGTTGTAGCTTACATTAAGATGTATTTTATGAATAATAAATACCATAATCAAGGCTATGTATATTTTTTCCCTACTAACTTTTGATTTTTGTTTTTGGGATATTAAGCATAGTTCTATTACTTCCAAACTTTACATTTTATCTTTCCTTAAAGAATTTCATGGCATATTTGTTAAAGTATGAAATAAAAATCTATATAGTCTTAAGCATTTAACAATATTCTGTAATCTTTGGGAATTTCCTAGAAGTTGTAAAATAAGTGTTTATAGTCATGGTATAGCCGCTAAAGGATAATTCTCAAATAGGGTAGAAATAATTTATCAGCTGTAGATAATTATATGACTGAACATAGGAGCCCTTTCTATGATTTTCAGGGTCTCATGTGTGAAATGAGACCCTGGATCACAAATTTTTAGGAAGTGATAGTTTGACCAGCTTTGAGCTATCTCAGGTTACCAAAACTAATAGAAAATGTGAGTAGATTTATCACACCCTCAATAAATAGATAGTTCACATTAAGCAATCCTTTCAGTACACTTCTCATTAAAAGTTTTCAATTTCCTAAGGAAGTAATAAAAACTCTGGGATTTGTAGTCAGGAAACCTGAAATGTAATCTAGACTCTACTGAAATGTGTAAAATTTAGGCAAATCTCCCGGACTTTCTGGGCCTCAGTTCTTTGTTTTCGAGTTTTTGTTTCTGTTTTAATTGTAAGATGATAGTTGTTGGTTTAGATCAGGGTAGGGAACCTTTTTTCTGCCAGGAGCCACTGGATATTTATAACATAATTCGTGGGCCATATAAAATTATCAACTTAAAAATTAGCCTACTATGCCGAGACCTGTTTGGCTCAATGGATAGAGCGTCGGCTTGGGGACTGAAGGGACCCGGGTTCGATTCCGGTCAAGGGCATGTACCTTCATTGCGGGCATATCCCCAGTAGGGGGTGTGCAAGAGGCAGCTGATCGATGACTCTCATCGATGTTTCTAGCTTTCTATCTCTCTCCCTTCCTCTCTGTACAAAATCAATAAAATATATTTTTAAAAAATTAGCCTACTATATTTGGTCAAACATTTAATTAACTCAGCCCTAATGCTTTGTCAGGGCCAAACAAAATGATTTCAAGGGACTGATACAGCCCAAGGGCCAGACATCAGGTCCCCATCCCTCGTTTAGATGAACCATTTCTTTTACCTTCACTGAAAGAAAAATAATTTTTACATAAATACTGGAAATCAGAATATACTACTAAATAAGACATGAACTAAATTTTCTAGCTAGATTTTGCTAATCTGAACACATTTTGTATGCTTTTTAATATTTTTTTCTTGAAATCTTTTCAAAATCTGTTTAGGGGGAAAAATGATGGCAGTTTAAATATTTTGAGTTAATAGGGAAGATTATCTTTAAAGTTAAAATCTGAGTTTTGTGATATTTTTGCTTCTAAATAGACATCGACTCTCACTGATAGAAACTTCTCTGTATATTTACTTAGGGTATGTTGAAAATGTTATTGCTTAATTTGTGGAAACATAAGCTGGGCTATTAACTGATATTTTCATTTTCACTTAGGTTTTGACTAATTTAAAAATTTTAATAATTTTTAAATGGAAAGTATAATCTGATTAAGCCTGAATATTTTCTTACAGTGATCCATACGTGAAACTTTCATTGTATGTAGCAGATGAGAATAGAGAACTTGCTTTGGTGCAGACAAAAACTATTAAAAAGGTATGTGTCCATCCTAATTAAATTTCATTTAAGCCATAATTTAATCCAATTAGATAATGCATTTTGGTTCTGTAGAAGTTTAAATTTTAA